ATATATATATATATATATATTCAAGTTTCCTTTTGGTTAACCTTTACCATGGCTTTAAAATTCCTGAATAAATGGAAAAGATTTGTGTTGTTGCTGTTTAATAAATCCTAGAGAATTCTCACATGTCTTATGGTAATCTGGGCAGAAGCACTTCTTATAAATAGACGCTAGGTTTTAACTCATTATGTTGACCGACGAAAAAAACTTAGCTCAATGAGCCCTGCCCAGCGCTTCGTGCCAGGCACTGTGCTGGAGTTGGGTGCGTGGGCCTTAGGTGACATGCTGCCCTTTCTTATTTGTATTTATTTACCATTTTTTAAAATGTATTTAGTACAGGGTCTACAGGGTCTCACTACACAGCTCAGACTCATAGTGATTCTCCCATTTTCAGCCTCCCAAGCACTAGGATTACAGGCGCGTGCCACCACGCCCAGTCCCAGTCAGTCTCAGCACACCCTGGGGATTTAACCCTGGTCCCTGTGCCTGCCTAAACAGGCACATTAATCTGCTGAGCTATCTGGCCAGCCCTTACCTTTTTATTTTCCTCGAGCCCTCAGATGCGGGGGGAGGCTGGAGGCAGAGAGAGGCCCCTGGCTCAGTGCACTGCAGGGCAAGTGGCTCTCAGGTACCCAGAGCAACAAGTCTGCGGGTCTGAGCTGAGCACTGAGGGGGCAGCCCCTCCCGGAGTCCCGAGGTGAACAGGTGTCAGGTGACCCCCCAACACTGAAGTGCCACTGTGTGTACTGATGCGGCCTTTGTGGCTCACTCTCCCTGCCCCCACAGGTTTCCACTTTCATTATGATGTACAGGACCCACTGTCAGAGGATCCTGGACACCGTGATAAGAGCCAACTTCGATGAGGTAGGTCGAGGCCATGGGCCGTGAGCACCGTGTCAAAGCACTGTACTGCACACTGAGCTCCGACACCACAAGAGCCTGCTGGGGCAGGCCTGGCTCCCCAAAACCGGTGACACTCATGGAGTCACCCAACCCCGCATGTTGTCCTTCCCCAATTTACAGAGCTTATGCGCTTATTGCAGGGTGGGCGTGGGCTCTTCCTCCACTTGCTAGTGACCCCAGGCCCACCTCCTGAGCACACAAGGCCAAGCTTTGGGCCTAGTCTCCCGAGAACTGTAGATCAGAGAAACGGAGGTGAAACTCCCCAGGGAGCTCCTCTCTTCTCAAGGCCTGGCCTCCTTCTCCACCAAATCCCCCTCTAGGGCTATCTTGAGATGCAAACAGTGTAAGAAGTCTATCTGGCTTTTGTTGTTTTTTAAATTTAAAAATATTGCAATAAAAGAAAAGGTGGAGAGGAGGAAATCAGAAAGGATGGAGGCACCTGTTTAGATGACCAGCGTGACAGTGAAGTCCACCTGCCCAGAGCACCACCTAGAAAAGCCTTGAAGAGAGGAGAGGAAACCATACCTCTCATCTCTGTCACCGGGTGTGTCAGTCGCTCTTTAGGGAAAATGGCTTTTGGGCAAAGACCGCAGCCTGCCCAGCCCGCCCACTGGCTAGGGCTGCTGG